ATGCGCACCCATTATTCTCCTTAACTGCCCATGTCTGTCAGTTTAATTGATTCGCCCGAAAAAACGGGATTTTACCTTTAAAAAAGAAAAAAAATCTTCTGGCTTTACATGGCAATTAAAAAGGCAGAAAAAAAAATGTTTCGACTTTATATACTTCAATGTTGTAAACAACAACCGTCTTTGATAGTTTAATTAGGAAGTGGGTGAGATAAGTGACGCGTAGTGCTCTAGATGAAAACTCGGATTAGCCTGTCTGGCGCTTCACTCTTTGCACCTTAAAGTGCAATTATCAACTAAAGTTAAACAGAACAACAAATAACAGAACTAGTGGTGGAGCTTCGTTTCTCATATTCAACAGTGTAGAAAAATCCTCTATCCCAGATTAGGGACTGACGCCAAATTATCAGTGGGGTCAGAAAATGAGGAAGATATAGTATTTTTTTCTTGGGACGAAAGGATAATCGAACTTTTGGTTGGAAGTAGAAAATGGTCTTTTATGTGTTCTGTCTGTAATCCAGACTTTTGGTCGTGTCCACGATTTAAAAGATGTATTATGCAAATTTGTAACGGACTGACTGATAGTATTAAACCTTCTATTGACTGTTTAATACTATCATTTACTGTCATCTCCTCACTGGTCTTAACAACTTATTTTGTAGCAAAAGGCATTCAAACAAGCATTATCCAGTCTGTTCCAGGGCATATTTTGGCCTGTATTGTGCCAATGTTCTAGTTTCCTGCAATATGAATTCAGTTACACTACTAAACATGTGTTACCCATTATAGTGGCATGTTACGGTGGACAACATTGGAGTGCTAATCTGAGAGAACCCTAGCATTTGTTTTAACAAAGTTAACAATACGTTTTACTCCCAATAACTGCCCGAGTAACTTTCATAAACTCCCTTACAAGAGAGAAGCACCTCAAAAGCTGCTTCATCCATTGGCTGTGATGAATATAATTACATGAGGATTGTAAAATGCTATTAATGGACACACTTGGGCAGGTATACATGCAAAAATGTAGTGTTCGCGTCATTCTCACTGGCAGGCTTGCATGAGGCTTTGTGTAGTGGGCAGTGACACAAGGCTGCACTTCTTTTTTCATAAAACCCCAGGGACCGACTGAGTGGAGAAGGGGGAGTTCAGCGTAAAAGTGGAGCTGTGGGGAGATTATTATCACATTACTGTAACAGTGCTCTGCTGCTTGCTTTAACATTGTTTACAAGAGCAGATAAGGGGCTGAGTGTGGACTGTGTGAGGTTTAGAAAGGGAGAAAATGCAGGGATCACGCTGGGGTAAACGCGTGTAAGTCGCTTAACTCTCCCTGTCACATGCACAAACTCCAAAATATGGGAAACTCAAGCAAAAAGCCACTTGCTAATGTTTCGCAGAAGGATTGCACAATTCTCAGCTTCATCAGGGAGCTGATTGAGCAAGTGAAACCGGATTATTCAGGTGCTGCAGGCTGGAGCCATCAGAGAAAAACATAAAGAAATGGGATCAAGGAACAGCTTCCTTCTCCACCTCTCCCCTCTGGTGAAAGCTATTGCCTCTGCCTTCTGAGTAGTGTATGAGCGCGGTTTTGCCATCTGAGGTTGTTTTTCTCCTCCAGGCTGCCAGACCCCCACAGCCAATCATGCTCTGGGGCCAAAATTCCTCCCCACTGACCAGAGACTTAATGCTGTGTGTTTTGGTGAGCTCTTATTTATGAGAAAAAGGTGGCAGAGTTATTTATACGTAAAGCATTTAGGGCGTAATAGGAGAAGACAAATTGGTATAATGTAGGAAGGGTTGTCTGTTGACTGTCATTCCTTCACATTGTGCTTTACTGTGAGTTCTCATTTCACACACAGAACCTTTTAATTGACCTTACAATAAAGGATTCACTGTGTCTGTAAATGGGATAGGGTTTCACGGACACACCTGAGTAAAAAGGAGAAGGGTGGTGCATTAGATGGTAAAGAATTGGATGAGAATGCACTGAAATTAGAGATGGCACTTATAGGAAACAACCCTCCTCTGTGGCTTGTTTTCAAAATGCTCTGTGACACTGTGTGTGTGTGTGTGTGTGTGTGTGTGTGTGTGTGTGTGTGTGTGTGTGTGTGTGTGTGTGTGTGTGTGTGTGTGTGTGTGTGTGTGTGAGAGCTGTCACGTCTCCATGAAACTGACTCACTGAGTGAAGCAGCATGAGAAATCGGCAGTAAACACAGTAGAACAGCCGCACACTGTGATCTCCGTGTGTTGCAATGCCCGTTTAGTGTTTGTCGTCAGATCTCCAAATCTTCCTATCTGTGATTAATGAACAATGGCACTCAGTGCGTTATCACTCTAAGGGGGGTTTCTGGGGGTGGTTTGTTTCAGACGCTATGTCTCCTCGTGGTCATTTCACTTCCCTTTTCAGTCATTAAAATGTAATCTTAGTTCATTTGTAAATCTTTTAGTTATTAATTATGCGTCTCCTAGTATTTGTTTCGCATCTATTTGTGGTTGGTTTATGTCTAATTTGTAGTTTTTAAACACCTTGTAGTTATAGTTTTTGTAATTTTCTTGCATTTATTTGTTTTTATTCTTTTTGTAGTTGTTTTGGGTTACATTGTAGTCATTTTTTGTTTCTCTGTAGAGTGTCCTTTTTCTTATTCTGCATAATATCTTTTCGATGTTTTTAATTCTTTGTGGTCGTCTTGCAACCAACGCAGCTGTTTCTGTGGCTATTGACGTTTGACCATGTTAAAGTTATACAAGTTTGATAGTTAGAAGGACAACTCTTCTTTTACCCCAAAGCACAATTACAAACAGCAGATTTACACCTTTCACTTCTCAATATCAATTCTCAGGGAAATAATAAACCGAAATGAACTCCAACCCCTGAATAGAAAGCACAATTGCTGCCTGAGAGAGGGGAGGGAAGTTCAGAAACAAATGTTTATAGACTTATTCAAATGAAAACAATAGCAGGAGGCTGTTAGTCATATCTTGCATCATACGACCTCTATGTAATCTGGCTGTCAGCAGAGGGTTAATAACTTCTCCGTCGCTCATTGACGTCCTGCTCCAGGATTAAGCAGCGTGTAGGATCGTGCTCGCGCTGTAAACACTGACTGATTGGCTCGTTCCTGGGACACCGCGGCATTCATTGATAATGTCACTTTAGGATATCCCGTCGCTTAGGGGCAGGATCATGATGACATTAAACTGTGACCTGGTGATGACACAGAGAGCGTCAGCTGGCTTGGGCACTCAGACATGCTTAAATGGCAGCTATAGAAGAAGTGAGCATCACGGGAAAAACATTGGGTTTAGCAAACTGTTTACTACCCAGGGGTGTTCAAACTGTTTTCACCGTTATACAGAAAATACAGAAAGGTCTGGGCCACTCACTAGAGTTGAGGTATATTGCCTCACAAGTTAAGTTATAAATGAGCAAAATCAATCAAATGTATCTAAATTATGTTTGATACTTGAATATGCTTTAATACAGCCTTCATCAGAGCTCTCCAGAGGGTTTTGTTAGCAGCTCATTCCTTAAAACAGAAGCCTCAGATTGATTATAATAAGAGGATATAGGAAGAGTTTATATCAAGCTTGCTATGTAAATAAGTTATTGGGCTTTTTTTATCAACTAACATTTGTTTTCAGCTTTAATTGACTGAATTTATTTGAAAAGTGGGCCTCTTAACACAATTAGCTGAGGGCCGATTCAAAATGGCTCGCGGCCGATTCAAAATCGTATTTTGACACCCCTGGTTTAGACTGTCATTCTCAAAGGGGACTTCTTGTATTAAAACAACCATATCATACATTTTTGCTCCATTTGTTTGATCTCTCTTATATCTCTGTCCTCTCTCTCTACAGACTTCTCTACGATGGGTGTGAAGATGCTGCAGTGTTTTCCTTTCTACAGACGCTGTAAAGAGCGCTGCAAGGGAAAGGACTGCCCTCCAGCAGAAGGTGAGGAACCGCTACATATAGACCAAATGAACAGCCATTTTGTGATATTACACTATGAAAAAGCCTCACTCTCTATCTATCTTCCTTGCCTCAGTTCCCATCGAGGAGATGAAGCCCCGCCTGTGCTCCAAGACTTCCTGCGACAGCGAAGGAGCGGGAAACCTGAGTCGGAGCTCCCAGATTTATTTCTCCACCAAGGCCAGGCTGTCTTTTCGACACCAGCTGGACAGCAACATCAACGCAGTGGACGCCACCTACTGAGGAGGACAGAGCGCCGCAGAGGAGATAAAAGGGACTCCAGTTGTTCCGTCTCCCATTCATGCCAGACGTCCGATAGCTGAACAAGCGCATCTATCGTCACCTTTAGAAAGCTGTGCACAGCCACAGTTTGCATTTAACCCCTCTTTGCTCGCTGCCAACAAAGAACTCTCGATGACTTGAACAAGGGACCGGAGAACAGATGGGAACAGACTTGGGTTTCATATCTTTGCATTAAGATCTGTCACTAAGCAGAGTGTTGAGCCCTGACAGACATGATACTGATGAGAGAGAAGACATCAGAGACTCGTTTACAGCATTCACAACCAGAAAGTGTACCACTTCTTTTTTACTGTTTGACCCATTTTTGATTCACTTTGTTGTAAAAACTGCAGATTTCAGATTGTTCATTTAACTTTTGAAAGCAATTGCATTTATTTTTACACTAATGTTTGGCTTAAGCTGTTTTATTATCAAAAGAAAAACCTCCTGGTTGCATTTGACATCATTTTCTTCCTACAGTTTTCCTGTATTTGTCGAACATTAACCGTAAGCGCTAATCATAAAATGAAATTTAACATATATCCCTCGATTAATACGCCATTTTCCGTTTTTTAAATCTCCAGTACGTCAAAAGATAAGTATCTCTATTCTTTAATAAAAAAACAATAACTAAAAATGTACACTACAAATGTCCTCTTGTTGTTTTTTATGATGAATGTCATGTTTTGCCGCAGACAGTAAAGTACATATATGATGGACACATTGCTCCAAAATGAACAGACAATGCATCTTGTTGACAACATTTATTTACGAAATGAGTGTATAAAAAAACAAAACAGCATACAGACAAACTTCAACCAGACCTGTGAGACTACATGTTTTTGGGTTTGGAGATGACGCCGTCCGGGTAGCAGCTCTTAAACCGCGCCACGACGTCAGGATCGAGAAGGTGAATGCCGTCGAGCTGGTTTCCAAGAGTTACCCTAGGAGAGGAGAGGAGGAGGAGAACAAAAGATGAATCAGTACATGCAAATTGTGAAGTTAGATACTCTGCCTTAAGATTACATAAGGGTGTGTTACCAGTTGGGCTGGACGTTGTGGGGTCGCCCGAAAAGCTCAATCTTCCTCGTGCCGGGAGAGAGTCTCTCTATCATGCCGTAGATCTCGTCTGGTTTGTGACTGGTGGAGCGGACCTGGAAAAGAAAAGTCAGAATATAAATCAACTGAGGTCACTTTTACAGGCTGGAGAAAATCATTACAACAGTCAGTATGAGAGGAGATGTTTATTTACCTCTGCCACAATGACGTCGCAGTCCAAACCGCGGTTAAATCCCTGAGGGGTTCCCTTCACGCCCACCTGAAGAGAAACAAATGTGTTTACATTTCAGACACCAGTGTGAGAAAAAGTTTTTAGAGAGTACTTGTCCATGGACAAGCGAGTTTGGCAATTTACTTGTCCGAATACATTTTTCACTTGTCCAGAATGGACACAAATTGGGGCCACTGGAATCTTCTTCTTCGTCATCGTATTTTACATTTTCCCACGGTTTTTACGACACCGCTAACGTAAGTGAGCGGTAAGCTTTTACTGCATCACACATAGGGTTGGGTATCGTTTGGATTTTAACGTTTCCGGTTCTGCTTTTCGATTCCGGTTATTTTCGGTTCTCGATTCCGGTTCTTTGAGAGGGTCAAAATAAGTCAAACTGGGAGAAAAATATATTTATGAAAACATTAAGTCAAATCTGTATTCCTATTTACAAATCACTTCATACTGTTCAATTTCTTACGGTTATTGAATACAATTATATAAAAATAATCTCTGCATTGTTTAGTTAGTTCCAAGTGGTGCAGTTTGAGAATGAACAATTGGCCCAGTCTCCTCTGATGTTACACTGCAACCTGCCTGTGAGACAGAGTCCAACCACACATGTCCAACACATAGGCCTAATAATAATAATACATTAGATTTATAGCCTATAGGCCTAGCGCTTTTCTACAACTCAAAGACGCTTGCACGCTTACACATGTCCTGCAATACACATGCTGCAGCTGCCCAGCTGCTCACTGTTTGTAAAAGTAAATAAATAGTATTTTCATTTCAATAATGTACTTTCTATATCCTGCTTCATAAACAATACTGACATCCCTGTGCTCCTCCGAGTCTGGGGGTCCGGGGATGTGAGGACAGCGCGAGGACACAGACAGGGAGGCTGCTTTACTTCATAAAGGAAATGGCGGTCAATATTAACAACACAGGAGCTAAAACGCTTAATAACCTTCACTACGTGTTAGAGAAAGAACATAAGAAAGTTTGACAAAGATGAGGCTGTTAAACAGGCAGCGGATCCGCTGTGTGTAGAAAGAGAGAGAGAGAGAGAGAGACGCTGAGCTGCACCGTGCAGCGATCAGCTGATACGGAGCACATGAGAGAGCTGCAGTCCGCGGGGCTCGGCCTCGCCTCCTGTCCTCACAAGTCTTATTAATCCCGGTACTGGACAATGGTTATTTGTTCCTACTCGGAACCGAGTTTTGCTTCCCAACCCTGCCACTGTGCTACACTTCCCTTCACTTCCCTTCCCGCCCCGCCCCCGTCTAACTGTACAGAAAGCGGCGAGATGCATTTCCTTAGGAATCGACAAGCAGAACCAAAACTAACATTTCTAAACTAACAATGGCGGACACGTACAATCTGCGAATGAGTTCTGCCTTTTGTAAACTGAATGTATCAATAATTTGCCAATAAACGTCACTTGTCCGCCGGACAAGTCAATTGACAGATCTACTTGTCCAATATTGTAAATAACACGTCCCGGACGGTGGGACGTGTACTTTTTCGCACACTGTGACACACAATAACGGACACTACACACGGCGGCGTGCGTTGTCGCTTGCCGGCGGGGGGGGGGGCTGAAACTCGACTAACAACCAATCACATGAATCTCCCGCCCCAGACACACAAGCACGCGGTTTGATTGGCTAGAGCTTGTACTGGCATATGATTCGATTGGCTGACGCCTCCGTCGAGGCGTCAAAAGTAGAACATTGCTCTACTTTTGCAGCGAGCACCGCGAGAGAAGTTACGCTTTGCTCCCACAATGCAGTTCGGTGAATCGTGACGTCCCCCCATTCAAAGTGAATGGGCAGAAGCGTTGAAGCGGCAACGCACGCCGCCGTGTGTAGGGGCCGTAACAAAGAACACTTTTTAACTATGGGGCGGACTTATTTACCAAGAAGGAACATGCCGAGAGTTAGAAACCCCTGGAGGCAAGATTCTTCAAGCTGAGCTTCAGTGTTTGACAGAAGCAGATCAACAGATTGTAAGATAAATAAGAACAGAGGAAGACAAACACACCAGACAATGCTCCTTCCCGTGGTTCAGCCAATGGCCTGTCCTCCCTGTGCGGATGATTCTCTGAAGCTGGTTGGTCTTCACCCAGATGATTTCGTCAACTCGATCGTAGCTGACATATGCAAAAAAGTGCATGAATAAAAAAGCAGCAGCGAGCTTTGATGGTACAATTTAAGCACTTTCAAGACTGGAATCCTTTATCATCACTTCTAAATTGTTACTATGAATGCAATTGCGAAAAATCAAAGTTAACAGAAGTCTTTTAAGACAACAGCAGACTTTTCTAGCTATGAATGACGAGTAAAACACACCTTGTCCTTTAAACAAATGTCCTTTTTCAAACCATCATGGTGTCAATGAACATAGTGCATTTAAATAATAACACAAACAGTTAGCATCTAGCGACTCAATGAGACAACAAACAAATATGATAACGGAATCAATTCATGTTTTTCACACCCTTAAGATAACGGATAAAATTGAGCATTTCCTAAACTTCAACATTTAAATCTAATGGTGTCCTTAAGAAAGGAAGACTCACCCCCACAGACTGAGACACTCTCTGCCCAGCTCCATCGCCCTTGAGAGAGGAGAAGACGTGCAGATGATGAGTTGGAGCAGACACAATTTGATCTGGATAAATGTTTTTCAATGTCGAAAAACTGTAGAAAAAAAGACTTTGTGGACTACGTATCGTAAGACATGATAAATCCCACTTATACTCGTAAATGTGGTGGAGAAAGGCGTTTTGGGGGCGGGGACACTTTCACAAAGGGAATATCCTACAGCTTTTTGTCGGCTACCATTAAAAAAAGATGATGTATTGTTTCCAGGGGTAAAAGCTGAAGACAAGAATAAAAGGGGTTTCGACCAGGTGAGTTAGCGTCTAGTTCAAGGACATCACGACACTCGAGGATCCTGGCTACCTGCCGGTGACCCAGAGGAAGAGGAAGCCGTCGTCCTGCAGCAGGGGGATGTGGAGCTTCCTCATCTCGTCATCAGTCAGCGTCCCGTAGGGCAGCTCCATGTGGATGTCCCACGGGGGGTCGGCCATCACCACGGCAAACTTCCCGAGGATGGAGACGTCCAAGAAGCGGATATCGCAGCAGATCCACTGCACAAAGAACCACAATCTCTGTTAATCCTGCTATCCTCACCCCATCTTCCTCCCTCATCCCACCTCTCTCTTCCTCACCTGCGAGGGGAACAGTTTGCCCTCGGAGTTGTCGGCGTCCCCTCCACACAGGCCCAGCTCCGTGCTTCCACCCTGGAGCCCCATGAGCCCCCCCTCTGTCTCTGGAGGGCTGTCGATCTCATAGTGGACGTATTTGCAGGTGTCCATGTGGAAGCACGTGTTGAGGAAGGAGCAGTCGCCCAGGCTCTCGTCCGTGTGCTTGTTGATGATGCGACTGTGGAGAAAACATGCGTCACAAAGTAAACCGGCTGCATAAACAGTCTTTTCATATGACTCCAGGTTGGATTAAACAGCCATAAAAACGCACAAAAATGTAAACACAGGAAAGAAAATATAAATATTTGACCCTGCGCAAATGTCAGCAAAGTTTTAAATCAGAACTTTGCAATTTCTATCCCAAACGTTCTTAATCGGAGTCTACTTGTGAATGCTTAAACAAGGTATTAGTTTGTTTAATAGGTTTTAAATATAGACCTTTATTGACTTTATAAACATCAGGCAAGTAAGTGTTGGTGTTTCTAATACAAGTAGTATGTTAAGCCTTGATTATAGTGACCTCTCCAGGCCAATGAGAGTATTTCTCTTGTAGAAAATACAAGTTGGCAGGTGGTAGTAAAGAGATGGCAGAAAAAACATTGATGAAAAACAGCTGAATGCTTTGAACAGAATCCTGATAAAAGGATTGTATCACGCGTGGTGACATAAATAGAGATGAGAAAGGTGTTTATAGTATGCAGAGGAACACTGACCGGAAGTGTAACTTGGTGCAGGGCTGCGGTGTGTCTCCGGAGCGCCCACACTCCTCTTTGGTCCCGTGGTCGCAGAACTCTTGGACCTGGGCTCGGCCGCGTGACCGGAACTTTTCCACGATGGACTGCTCCTTCGCTGTGCTGGCATTCAGCAGCTCCAGGATCTCTCTGCTCACCTACACAAAAAACCCCACAACATATCAGCAATCAAACTTCTAGGCTTCGCTTTGACGTAAATGTAACTCTACAATGATTCTGGTAGCTCTAAGACAGTGGTTCCCAACCTGGGGGGCGCCAAAGATCGCAGGCGCCAGGCCTCAGATGATTTGAGGCCAAATATCATATTTATATCATTTTATTTATTTTTTTACATATAATTGTAAGGCAATACATGATTGTCACTAAAAGCCTTGTCTCTACATTACAATAAAATATAAAAAATAATTGACTAATTAATTTTAATACAAATTCAAGTTAGTATTAAAGGCATAAAAAGAGAGACATTTATAATTCTTTCTTTAATATAAATGTTTCTTCTGCCCATAAAGTGTCCAAACCAGGCTTGTCTGGATAAGCGCATTTTTAAAACATAGTCATTGTCCATGCCGGTTTCAGTTGGATTATTTGTCACAGTTGCTCCGATCAGATCGGTCTCCTCCATTTTGTAGATTATTTACGACTTTTGAATCCACATAAACACATCGGCAAAATCCGGCTTACTTTGAGCAACAGTTTAATCCCTTTGTGAATTGTTTCCACTTGCGCCGTCCTTTAATTTCTTCATACAGCGGGAATCCAAATGAATTAATCCTGAGTCCAATAACCATCAAAGTCACTCCAATAGTGCAATAGTGTGTGTGTGTGTGGGGGGCGCAACTTCCAACAGGAGTCATTTGGGGGGGCTCTTGGGAAAAAAGGTTGGGAACCACTGCTCTAAGAGACACCTACCTTCTTGCTCTGCTGCTCTTTAGTTGACTGTTGGTTCAGGAGGCTCTCTATCTCCATGTCCAAGTGAGACGACTGGCTTTTACTGTTCCGGCCCTTCTTGTCGGCGCCGCTCCCTGAGGCCGAGGGCCCCGCCTGCTGTGTGGAGGCCGCCGGCGTCACCGAGCTGAAGGCGGAGTGCGGAGGAGAAGTCGAGCGCTGAAGGGCGGGCGACAGACCGGGAGTTCTTTTGTGGTGCGTTGGATCCTCTGTTTTCCTCTTGACTCCCGGTCGCTGGGCTCCAGCCCCCGTCCCGATCATAGCCCATAGCTTTGTGTGGTCCACTGACACCACGATGGAGGGAGAGGAAGCTGAAGAGGAAGAGGCCGAGGCGGGCTGACGGACCTCGATGAGCTCCTGAGCCGAGAATTTAAGCAGGAGACTCTGGATGCTGCCATGACTGACTGTGGATTCAGACTGTAAAAACAGAATAATTAAAAGCATGAAGTTGTTTATATGATACAGAACTAAACCTATTTTCACAAGCATTGCTTTACTTAGAGACTCACACTGAGTTCATTTGTGATGGCGAGGGAGTCTGTTGGCATTGGAAGACTCAGATCAGAGAGATACGCCAGCAGCCTCTTCTCCAGCTCAGGGTCCGGTGGTCTCTCCGTCTCCTCCTGAGAGGGGGGGGCAGCTGGCGGAGCCGGACTGTCACTCCTGGCTGTGGAACCTTCCGCACTGGTTCCACTGTCTGGTGGAGACAACATCACATCCTTACTTACAGACATGTTTTATGTGTACTGGAAAAAGGTTTTAAGATAATTTAGTTATCTTATATTCATAGTCTGACATAACTGAGTCAACTAGTCGATTAGTAGATCTACAGAAAAATTATCGCTAAATATGGAGAATTACAGCTTTTTCTGTTATACATAATATTCATTATTTGAATAGACAGACATTTAAAAATACATCACCTTAAACAGGACAAACTAGTATGGACATGTTTCCCTATTTTCTGTAATTATTTTTGACGAAAAGGTAAGTCCATTAATCTAATATATAATCAATAATGAATTGAATCGTTAGTTGCAGCCCTAAATACAGAGCCGGCCCGACCCATTAAGCGACATAAGCGACCGCTTAGGGCCGCGCAGCCACTAAGGGGTCCCCTAGCAAAAAAAAAAGAAAAAGATCTCAGTACACCGTAGCCGTGATAAGTATGTTTAATTAATTTTGCTAATATGCCTAGATTGCCTACTCTCAAAGTCATGTATTATATTATTGAGTCAATAATATAATATATTAACCGTGCTTTACCTGAATCTCATCATGACACTAGAGAGGACGGCAGGATTGTAATTTCCCGTGTTCAGTGAATGCAACAGAGGCAAGACACCAGACCAACCTGAGAGTTGAATGGAAATAAACATCTGTCTTATTGGCTGACAGGTACCTATCCTGTGAGCTGTGACAATGTTTAAAATAAACTGTCAGTCGGACTCAGAGTTTTTGAAGATGGACATAAGAAAACTTTTTCTTAAAAAAGACGAACATTCTCAAGTGGTGGCTCACACAACAACCCCAGAGCCACAGGTAAACAAGGTATGTAAATGTCAGTAAACTTCCAAGTTATGCGAACATGTAAGCAAAGCATAAATTACAGCTACGTTGACGTTACTTTGAATCGCGGGGGTAAGCTAAAGTAGCAAGTAGCTATAACTAGCCAGAGATATTAAATGAATACTTTGTCATACAATCTAAATGTAATGTTTTTTAGCGTTACCTGGTGATTTCAAAGAAAGCTCTCTGGGAAATGTTGACTTACTGTTCGACATGAAGCTAGAAGCTACCTTACAGTACACAGTTGATCCTGAGTCCTGTCAGTTAAAGTTTTCATAGTTAACTTAGCTAAGCATCAACCTAGCACTGAAATATATGGATGTTATGTGACAGTATTTCTGAGAAAAAGTCAGCTGAAATGGTGGCATGCCACTGCTTTACGTGTCGACAGCATGTTTGAATGTATTTGCAGCAGTAAATGTGGCTGTTTGGCTACTGACGTTGCCATAACAACACCTGAATTTAAATGTGCAACCTCTTTTTGTGGCAGATTTTTTGCAAGAAATTATAATTCTTTGAATGATATTCCTATTGACAGCTAGTTTTTATGTGAACATTATGAGATGGACAGCCAGAGAGAATAAATGAAAAACAGTTGTGAAATACTATATGACAAAACAAGAATACAGTTTAAGTGATTTGTAAAATATCCATAAAGAAAAATCTGCTTACAGTTCTGTTTCATATGGGTGTTGAGAGATGTATCCATAGATCTCTTAATTTTGCTCTCAAAGTGCACCAGATTGATGCTTTTAACTTCAATATTTAAAACAAAAAATCTTCCCGGGGGAGCATGCCCCCGGACCCCCATAGAGGAGGTGAGGACCCCCCTAGAGGAGGTTAGGTCCACGGTGTTTACATGCTTATTTATACAATATGTGTGCTTATGCTAACATCATAAGACAAAAGTTGGTTCCGTGTTGTGTGTAGTGAGAACGCGCTAGAGTTCAAGCCAAAGCTCGCTTAGGGCCCCCAAAAGTCTAGGGCCGGCCCTGCCTAAATATCTTTACCCCAATTAACCGTTAAGCAAAACGTTCAGTGTAGCAATTCAACAAGTGATTAAGGTTGCATACTCGTGAGTTATACTGGGGACATGTTTTGGAAATGACCAATTTTGTCCCCACCACATTGCATTAAGATAATTTCTTTAAAATGTTCTGAAAATATCGTGCACGAAGAATCGTACACTGTTTGCGTGTGTTTCTGTCAAACCAATTGGTGCCATTTGTACATGTGACACGTTTAATATCAGTAATAACTGATTAGAGAATAGCTTTGCACCAGCGTAGCATAGTTACTGCTCTTGTTGTCAAAAAGTATTTTAAGCATATGTATTATGTATATACAGTATGCATGTATTGTTTGCAGGAGCGCAGGCGTGGTTTTTAAAATCTGAAAAAGTGTCCCCAACACTTTTTCTAACAAACTCTGCAACAAGGACATTTTAAGAAGGTATTGTAGCCTCGCTAAACAAAACATGCACATTTTTCTTTATCATGGACCATTTATAGACTATAATTGGTTAACTTGTCGGAAAAATACTCAATCGATGACCGAATAACAAACACAATGTGTATGTGCAGCCCGGGGCTAGTACAGAGGCTCCGTGGTGAGATCTTACCGGAGGACAGCGCCGTGTCTTTCCGCCGCCGCTGCAGCCTCTCCCGCAGAGAGTCCAGCTGCTTCTTGTGCGCCTGGATGCTGCTCCATGTGTCCGACATCACCAGCAAAAACCAACGATATTAAATGCACCGATACCTGTCACAATGAACAGTGTTTAGACTAAAGTTGGAACACTGGCCCGCCTTGTTGCGAGCGAATAATGTATGGTCCAAGGCGGGAAAGTGTCGTACCAGCAACGTGAGTGAGAAACGTTCCGGCAGTCAATAATGGAAAGGAGAAGGGAGAAGAACATCTAATTGTACCTGCCCCCTTATTAAAATCAATAAATAAATAAAAATCTGTCAGTTACAGCTGCTTAAAAAAACTTACAGTAATATGGAATCAAAATCACAAAAGTCAACACAACAATCCACCATCAGCAAAACAGATCAACACAACACTGTCTAATTAATCATTCTTTATACATTTTCTTAAACCTAAATAAGTTCATATAGCCCTTTAAATCATTAAGTGAAGAATTTCACAAATACATACATTATTATACCTTTACAAACATTTACTCAAAGCTTTATTTTAGCCAATACAACATATATTCCCGTCGGGTTCATTTCAGAGACGGACTTGTCTAACTTCCGTTATCGGTGAAATTAAAAGCCTATTTCCTTCGCGCTAAAATACATTGTTTTCGTGCAATTTGGGTAGATAAATGTTTCCTGTCATCATCTGATTTGTATAACCTTGGACTAAATACTTGTTTCGTATTTTTTAATTATTTTATTTTTTTGATAACAGCCTTTTTTGTTTTTTTCTAACTGCCTTTTTTTCTGCTAACGAAAAGATGGCGGAGGAGGAGAAGAGTGGAGAGCCTGTAAAAGAGAAAAACGAGCTTCAAATGTTGACGGTAATTTATTTCAACAATATAAGACTCATATTTAAATCCACTAAGTGTCTAAGCCTTATTGTTTGGTTGACTTCTCGGGATCTCAGCGTGTTTTCTTGTGTGTGCATCTCAATTTGCTAGCTTGACATCTTGTTACTATAACAACTGCGATGCTAACATACCTTGTCTAGTTTTTTTCCTTTACTTAAAATACTACGTCAGGTGTATGAGTGCAGTTTTATGTTATTCTACGTGTTGAATATGCTTTTCAGTCACCCTATTTGATAGTCAGATACCAGACTAATGTGTATTATTAGCTTATCTATCCACTTCTTGCTGAGTCACCAGGTTGTCAGTGTGACTTTAGACTTAATGCAACAAGGATGGATACTACAGATGTTTTATTAAGACAGTTCAAGGTTCATTCCTAAATCATCCTTTATCAATAACCTGTGTTAGACACCATGAGTCCAACGGCAGGTGCACATATCGTTTCCCCTTTTACAAATGCCCATCATTAACAATCATCTCAACAAAATAATTCTATAAAACTATGATTTGGCAGTTGTTAATTTGGGGATACTCAATAATTTGAGAATTGCAGTTCCACTAAGCTTCACAAAACCAAAGGATCTGACTCTTATGTGGGTCAAGCACCGAGACAACTGCATCCTACAATTCCCATAATGCAACTCTAAAGCTTCTGTCATGAGAGCCTCTTTGTCTGGTTATGGCCACCTTTTGTTCCCACTTTGTATGGAAGGTTTCCTGTATTTTGATAACTTAATACACTTTTACGATGTACATTTGAATGTATTGATGTTTACAACTTAATTTGGATTGGTTAGTTAATTACAGGTATATTATTTTATGCCATATAGTCCCACCAACTTATTAAATAAAAGAAGACATCGTTTTTTCTAACTCAATACTGCACTGCAGGCAGAGAACTGAGCCTTTGGTCTATTTTTAACTGCTGTCAAGAATTCACAATCTTTTTTCCTCGCATCACAGGAGCTGGTGGATGACCTGTATAATTTCAGAGAACACTATTTTGAGACTCACAGTGTGGAGGAAGCTGGGAGGAAACAAAATGATGTCGCACAGGAGATGGAAAAGACACTGAAGAAGCTGGAGGAAAAAGAAGGTAAGGGTTATATTTACACAAAAGCACTTGGGCCTTTTAATTTCCAGAATTTAATTCACACTCGCTGTACCTCTGTGTTAACGAACACCCACAGATCAGTTAAAACACAAAGTAGAGTTCCTGCTGCAGAAGGGCAGGTGCCTGAACGTGTCACCTGACTTCAACGCCGTAGCCGAAGAGTGCCTTTCCCGCGCCGTGAAGCTGGAGCCCGGCCTGGTGGAGGGCTGGGAACACACTGGGGGAGCAGTACTGGAAGAAGGGAGACCTGACTGGGGCCAAGAACTGCTTCACAGGAGCCTTGCAACAGGTACATTAAAGACGGAAAGAGAGGAGGTCATGTCTTCAACTCAGAGAGGCATAATCTTCCATTCTGTCCCCTTTGCTTTTCATACATAATAAGCCATAATACAAGAAACCCCTTTATGATTTAGTCGTAAAGTCAAATCAGTAATACACAAGGTATTTCAAAAGTTAGAATTTCTGGCACTAATGCAAGCAGTATAATTGTGTATGGTTGTTTCTGAATGAATAGAACTCCTGTGGAATTATCCCTATCATGTATAGTTAACGTATTAAGTCCTGTGTCTTACTCTTTATCTCCCCCTGTGTAGAGTCAGAACAAAGTGTCGCTACGCAACCTGTCGATGGTTCTGAGGCAGGTGCCGACGGCAAACAGCGACGTACACAACAAGCACGTGATGGACAGCGTGGTCCTGGCCCGAGAAGCGGTCCAGCTGGACGTCACTGACGGAACCTCCTGGTGTGAGTAGAGCGTCTGGGTTCTACTATTGAGCAGGGAGGAGAGAAAACTAATGTATGCTAAAAATGAGTTCTTGTTTCGACAGACATCCTGGGAAATGCCAACGTGTCCCTGTTTTTCACCAGCGGACAGAAACCACAGTTGTCTCAACAAGCTATGAGTGCCTATGCACAATCTGTGAGTACTGAGCTCTAGGCGTGTTTGTTCAAATCTATCGACACTTCTCGCACTAATGTTTTCGTCCTCTCCTCCTCGTTTGCAGGAGAAAGTGGACAGAGCTGCCTCGTGTTATCCTGAGCTGCATTACAACCGCGCCACTCTCTTCCAGTACGAGGAGATGTTCGGGTCTGCGCTGGACGGCTACACCCGAGCAGCGGCGCTGGACCCGGGCTGGGAGGATGCTCGGGTGAGAGAGAAGCAGCTGCTGGAGTATCTGCGGAAAGTCACAGAACTCATACAGAACAAGGTATGGAGAAAAACGCATTACGGTAATAGCAGAATAAGAAAACCAGCAAATAGAAGCTGCTTGAGAAGCTGGAACTCAGGAATGTTTTGCATTTTTTGCCTCAAAGTTTTTAAATCAAAATGGTTATCAATTAATCCATTTTCTTCCTATATAATTTATCATGAAACCATTATAGCGCTAGTAGACTCTTTGAAAATCAAAACCTCAGTTTAACATTGAAATGAAGTTACTATAAATGTTTAATTTAAATAATGGAGCATTCTACATCAACGTGGGAGGGAACTAACACTGAAATGACAGCTCGAAGAAGTAATAAATGAACTAAAAGACTACACTTTTCTACCACTAGGTGTCAGCAAAGCACATGTATATTTCTTGTCTTGCCCCTGACCTCCAGTCTCTGCCTCTCCTCAGGGGAAGGTGAAGGCGCGCAGGTTAAGGACGATGCTCTCTAACCTCCACACGTCGGCGCTGGGCCCCTGCTCCTCGCCTCAGTTCCGATCCCCGACAGGACGCGTCGGCAGCCTGGAGCCCCGGACTCTTTCCTCCCTCACGCACGGTCTCAACGCCGGGGTGGCCGCCCTGGGGAAGGTGGTGTTCAGCCTGGCTTCTGAGGGTCGCATGGCCTTGTGAGTGCAGCTTCATTTCTCATTAATAGCTCACTTGATTTTGAGAGCAGTAGATGAAATCTTCCTCTTTTTCCCCTCCAGTACGTTTGGCATGGTGGACAGCGAGAAGTCGTGCATCGTGGTGATGGTGTACAACACAGCGAACAGTTGGGGCGTCCTGATCGGAGACACTGTAGTCATTCCTGAACCGCAGCTCAAACGAAACAGCATAACGCATAAAGATGAGGTCAGTGTCTCAGGTGTAGGGTTCAAACTGTAGATACATGTCTTTCTAAAAGGTCTCACTTTCACATTTCCTCTCTCCGCAGTCGTTTGACTTCAGAAGTATCCGAGTGGACTCTCCGCTGCTCCTCATCGTCAACGGCAAGAAACAAAACGTCCAAAGTCAGATCGCCGCCTCCGTGAGCTACACGCGCCAGAGCGAATGAGATGCACCCGCAGCAGGAAGTGCAGCAAGAGGACCAATCGGTTTTTTTCTGGATTTTTGAAGTTCTGATGATTGTGGACGTGTTAATATTCCAAAGTTCGTGCCTGTTTTATGTGTTGTTTTGTAAATAGAGGTCACCCTGTTACTTTGTCTTTAGATAGACACTTTGTTTATATTTATAAATATTCTTTTTTTGTACTCTCTTGTTGTGGAGACAACACGGGGATCTTTTTTTGTAAATGAATGAACATTTGATGATTATTATGATGTCAGACTTATGACTTTACCCTGAGCAAATCATTTTACCGTTCATATGTTGTTTACGTGTTGTTTTAAAACAGCATCGGAGTCCCCAAAAATGTATGTAAAGAAATAATTGACTATAATGGTAATTTGTTATTTGAAGAAATAGCTTTTTACTGGCGGACACTTTGGCACTTCTCAGTAGGAAAAGAACAGGTGTATTAAGGAACATATCCTATGGTTCAGCTGTGTGCACAATACCAGGACTTTAAAATGGAGACACACAGAGAGACAAGAGAGAGACGTGAGAGAGAGAGACACACAGCGAGACACAGAGAGACGAAAGAGAGAGACACACACACACAGAGACGAGAGAGAGAGAGACAAACACAGAGAGAGAGACGAGAGAGAGAGACACACAGAGAGAGACACACACACACAGAGACGAGAGAGAGAGACAAACACAGAGAGAGACACACACACACAGAGACGAGAGAGAGAGACAAACACAGAGAGAGAGACGAGAGAAAGAGAGACACACACACACACAGAGACGAGAGAGAGAGACAAACACAGAGAGACACGAGAGACACAGAGACAAGAGAGAGACACACAGAGACGAGAGACACACACACACACACACACAGAGAGAGACGAGAGAGAAAGTCTATTTACACCTGTGTCTTACCAACTTAGATATGTCAAAATGTCTTATGTTCAAAAAGCCAACGTTTCACTACAATGATAATCATGTCATTGTTAAAAAAGAATAATTATAATATGTCCCTTATTGATGCGACCTTGGTTAACCAGCATACTGAACGAACTGCCCCATTACCCTAAATATTCAAGTCTAGACCTCAGTGGGTCTCCTTATGCTTCCAATCAACAACAACCATTAGTGTTTGCATGATAGACCACCTACTGTTATTCATTTAGTAGCATTATATGCACTGTATCACTTCAGGAACATGTTTAATTTCATTTATTTTTCTTTCTTAGTTTTTGACCGATAAAAGCCACCCATTGTCTTTACTTAGATACGGCTCAACTACTTCTACTTTTTATCAATTTGTAGGTTGTTCCGACTAGAAGCAGGTAAAGCTCTTTCTCATTTGAACTGGTGGAATCTCAGAAAACAAAGAGGACTGTAAGGCAGGAAACAGTTTATGTTGTTTTTACAATGTCTTGCCAAGTACTTCTTAACACACTTTTTAGAAGGTTGAATATAGGATTTCCTCCTAGTTTAGTTCAAAATCACAGAAAAAAACTACAAAAATGCACTCAGGGCAAACACTGCCAACAGAAATAAATATTAGAACAACTTAGCATTTTTAAATAAGTGGAGTTAAGTTCAACAGTTGTGGCCGTCTCAGTGCTTGTTGATGTAGGGCCGGCCTCTCTCCCTGGCGGGGGAGCTGTACTGGAAGAAGTTTTTTGCTCCGTCAGCCTCCAGGCAGGAGAAGAACCGCCCGTCCCCACCGGGGGCCACGGAGAGGAACTGTGGGCTCCTCTGGGGAGTTCCCTGCCGAGCCACGCCTGCGCCACACACATGGGGGTTGACGGATGTTTCTCATTGTTATGTCGGTTTGAAATTCCTTTACATTGACAATCGGCTCCTACTGTTTTTTCCTTAATGACCACTTCTCCACAAAACACCTACAGCTGTGTTTCCCTTTGTCTTTCCTTTTAACATCATTCTCTCTCTGCTTCCTTCCTCTTGTCATCGTCAGTTCTGATGTGACAACTGATTTAATAAAAGCAAGATTTTCCTGACAAACTCATTGATTCGGTGAGAAATGATTATTTCCTTGTGGATTCATCCGTGTTTGCCATTTACACTAGCAAATGTAGGAAACGGTTAACTTTACAGCTTGTTGGTGTCATCCTATTATCTGTGTTGTCCGACTACTGTCGACATTTTTCATCTTTCACCATTTCTGCCTGTTCAATCTCTGAAATGAATAGCTGATTATCAACATGGCTGGCAAATCATTTCCGACAATAAGTTGGTGCCAATATTGTTGTTAACATTGGAATTGTATATTAATTCAAGTATTTTATAATTAAATACTTGATAACATTGATGGAAAGCCAGTGTCTTAATGTTTTTCCCAATTTAAAAAAAACAATAACCGTGGAAGTGGGAGAAGTGTGACGAAAGCAAAACACTTTTAAATGTTGAGTATATGGAAGGACAACATTTGTGGCCTGATTGTTTGTAAACTCCTACAAACCATACCCACCTCTTACTGCAAAACCTCAATTTATCTACTGAACAAATAGATTACGACTTAACCTAAAACGTTAACATACATCTCAAGCTCTTACCGATGTTATAGTCGTTCCGTCCTGGTTGTGGCAGCATGTCTCTGTCCCCCGCACCCACCACCATGTTACGCAGCCTCAGAGAGTCGTACAGCCCCTGCAGTTTCTGGTACTGCCTGTTTCTCTCCATCAGCCTCTCAGAAACCTCGCTGTACTTCCTTTTATACTCCTCCATCACCTGAAAGAACAACATGTTTATGATTGACAGTCATATTAAGGTCAATTTCAACTTCATTTGTGTTGCTATAAATCTACACTTGAGTTTATGAAAGGTGGTTTACTTTTTTCAGGGAAGCGATTTCCCCCCTCATGCCGGAGAGCTCCACCTCTCTGCTTTGGTTCTGCTGAGTCACCACTTTATCCATCTGCTTCAGCTGGGCCTCCGCTCGAGACAAACTGTACTCTTGAAACATGCGCTCCTGATGGACCTGCTTACAAAGACAAGGGAATTACAAGACAACCAGACTGGTAACAAACTACATTACAAGCCTCACAATTACAGTGATGTTCCCATACATACAAACAGGATTATATTTGACCTGATAGCTCCAGAAGGCCAGAGCTCGGGCGCTGATGTCCAGAATCACATCTGGTCGCAGGCCTGCCAGCACCATGGCTTTGTACTCCTCAGATGGCGACAGCTCTGTCCTCACAATGTCCAGCTTCCCTGACAGCGCAGAGGAGCAGGCCGGGCAGATGGCGGGGGAGCGGCTGAACTCACCGGACCCGTGCTGATCACAGAAGACATGCGAGCAAGCTGTGACCCAGGCAAAGCCGCTCAGCTTGGTGCGACACTTTGGGAAGTTACACAGGAGCGTGTCATCGCAGAAAGACATGGCCCCGACTGTGAGAAGAACAGTAACATGTCATTAATAGAGCTCAAAGCAATAGGCAAGTCATTAACGGAAAGTTCTATCAAGCAATGACATACAATTGATTTGAAAAGACCTTAACAATATCCAGGTAAAGCAAGTAAAAAAAGAATGCAATGCTATATCAGGTCTAAAGCTATGTGAGGGGGTTAACACACACTCTTGGGTATTATATTGAATGATTCAAGAACCAATTTGATAACAGAATAATCAGGTAGGGTAACAAAGTTAAGTGAACATTGAATGACTTTTGCTATTTCATGCATTTTTGGGGGTTTTCCTTTCTGATCATTAGGCTTAGGGACATCTCTTAGGACATAGGAGTTTGGACACTTAACACTTAAAACACTGTTTACACCTTTGTGTAAAATATATGTAATATTTAGTCCATGTTTATTGTTAGAACATTTTCCTCCAAGTTTTACTTTGGACAACTTATCTATTTCAAATTATCAATGAGAAAATGGGTTACTACAAGCAAATGAAATAATATATTCCCCAAAACCTTGCTGCGTAATGGAGTAGGCCTATGTAGCAATGTAGCTTAGCTTAATTAGCTAGCTTAATGTTACGTCAACTGCCATTACATGTTAGCATTAGCATGATAGCAGGTAATTTGATATGCTCAGTTAGTTAACAGCTATCTCCGCGTTTTGTTTAACCGCTGGTTTTAAAGAGAACTACTTTGACATCTTAAAGTATATATTGATAAACTTGTACGGACACTTTAAAGGCGAATTTAAGTACATTTCGGGAGATTAGCTACAAACCTACCAGTTAGCTCTTCACTCGGCAGGTGACGCTAAATGAATACTGTATTCTGATTGGCTGATTACCATTCAGACTCTCAACTGTAAAATCTCGACATATTCACTTTATGCGGAGATTTTAAAATATGTAAATAGGTAACTTTTGCTTATGAGTGGTGCAAGTACCTAAGAACATTTAATCAAAACAATATATAGTATCCTTAAATGTGCCAATCTCCATAATGAGTAGCCTACTTTTACTTTTGAAACTTTAAGTAGCCATATTTAGATGCCAATACTTTATACTTTTACTTGAATAACATTTTGAATAGAGGTTATTTCATTAACAGAGTATTCCTACGCCTTGGTACTTATACTTTTACTTAAGTACAAGATACGAGTACTTATTCCACCTCTGGTTATGATTTCATACAACTTGGGCTATGCACTTCAATTAGCATTTGTATTCTCTGGCTATTTACTTTTACTGCATGTGAATTTGGACTTTACTTTCAGGTTATTTTCCAAGTGATGATGAAATTGGATGAAGTGAGATATTTTAATGAACACTCCAAACAGCAAACCCTATATAAACATGTAACTTCACCCCCCAAATCAAATAACGCCCTTCTTACAGCCTCTGAGTGGATATATGTATAATCTGAGACACCTACTTAAATATGGCCCCCCTTCTCCTCCACCTCCTCCCACTTTTCTCTCTCTCCCTCTTTTATCCAATTCTCCACGTGGTACAGGAGTAAAGGCGGGGGGTGAAAGAGGGGCATTGTGCTGTGCAGCAGTGGATCCGGGGGTTCATAGTGAGAGAGGGGAGATGCTCACTCAACTGTGTCCAGCACGCCATTGTCAAATATTCCCATCTATTCTCTGCCTTTTAAATAGAGCTCCAGTGTAAGATGCTTTTTCTGGGGGGGTGGGTGGGAGGGGGGGGGGGGGGGGGGTATTATACGCTTGGTGATAACACACGAAATACATGCATGTGGAATGGCTGTGTGGCCCCACTTGCACACAACTCAGTGCGCTGTTGTTGATAATTGGCCCTATGGAAATCAAAGGGTAGAAATATCGCATGTTCACTCCTCATCCGGCTTAATAAGACGAGTGGGAAAACGGATTTTTGACTGTTGGAAACCACCTGCAAGTCAAATTATGGCTTGTCTATTTATCCACCTTGCTGAAATTATTAATGTGTCTGCAGTACCCCTAAACAGATGTTTCCTGATGGAAATGTCACCTGTTACTTCTTTAGACATGTTATTGCATCTTAATTAGACCCACAATGATTTATTTTCTTCCTGGCATTATTTAAACATTTATCTTAGTCAAATAGATAATTCTAACGCCAATTTACATTTGTGTTCAAGCCATCCAACGGCTTTGACACCTAATTGTCATGTTTTATTGAAAGTTTATAGCTGCTGCGTGAGTGTGTAAAGAAAAATAAAGCTGGGGAGAATGAGAAAGAGAGAAGCAGGGAGGCTGTGTGTTACACGCCATTGAAATGCAAATATCATTGAAGAACAAGGAGTGGTTCTGTGTGTGTTTGTGAGTGTGTATGGCGTGTGTGTGTGTGTGCGTGTGTGTGTGAGTGTGTGTGTTCCCTGTATGTGCATGCAGCGGGGCAGCAGTGGGAGAGGAGGGGCGCAAATTGGACAAGTTTTTTGGGGGAGAAGAGACTTTAGGAAACAGCCACACACACGCACTCACGGCAGCTTCATATGGCACGGTGCAGACCTGCGGATTTCCAAATATCTATTGCTACCTTTTTTTAGATTTTTCCAAAAAGCATACGTTCTTTTATCACTTTTAAGTAAGCTTACATATTCCTTTAACATTTCCTTTTTTATTCCGGGGCTTTCGGGATGTGCGCAACTCTTGAACTTTAAATGCTTGGATGGTTTCAGGAGCGCTTCCGAGTGCGCAAAAACGTGCCTACTACCATTCAACAAACTGATGCCCCCCTCTCCCTCTGAGTCGCAGTGAATCATGTCACGCCGGAAGCAGAAGCGACCCCAGCATCTAGTTAACTCGGATCCGGGGGGCCCAAGGCTGCTATCTCACGGTGAGTACACATCTTTACGAGTGTGCATGCGTTTTTGTCTTGAATTTCATGAAAGAGTGCAACAAGCTTGCAAACAAATGGTGCTCAACAATGCATGCGGAATTAACTCAAGTCCTACAACAAAACGGAAAACTTAACCGAAGCAAAAGTTTGTGTTTCGACGCACATAAATTGTGTGCGCTGTTTGGGCTACTGTGCGCTTTTGTCATTGATCGACGTGATTTTCACACGTTTATTTATGCATGGACACATTCCAACAAACGCACCTGATTGAACAAACCAAAAAGTTGAAGATCTAAGTTTGTCAACTAAAGAAACCCCTCCTGTTCAGCCATTCACTGTAATGGGCCCCACTAAATGGGGGCCTTAGGCACACAATAAACGTGTCCCTGTGAAATGAATAGAGCAGGATTAACTAACATACATCTGTGGCCATTTTCATTTGCTGTTGGTCCTCTAGGAAACCAACAGGCTGCTCAGCGCTGACTGCTGGAGGTCTTTGATTAGTATAGAGCACCCTCTTATTTGTTAACAATAAAGTGCATGGGTGGGGGGAAGGGAAGCCAGTGTTTTTGGTAAAGATTAATCTTCCACCCATCTATTCTCTTCATCCATGCCTTTCTCTCTTATGCACCCCTGTTCCCCCATTTTCCACCTTCTCAATACTTCCCTCCCCTTTCTTTATCCCTCTTTCTCGCCCCCCAACCCTATTGACTGTATACTCCTACACAGTTGGGGGGGGGGGGCTCAGATGGATGAGAAAAAAAGATTCAGAGGGGAAAGAGAGATTGCTCTCGCACTTGTTCTGTTTTACAATGGGTAATATCTTCCAGTGCATGCACTTTAGACTCTGCAGGTAAACTTCCTCCAAAGAAAGTTTATCTGGTAGTTATTGTATGTTTCCCGCAGGTTGAGGTTTGTTTAGAAGTCACAGAGGAGGAATTTCACTTAGGTACAGTCTTTCATTCCATCACTATATCACTCCAGGAGGGAATAGTTAGTTTGTCTCTCCATTGTTGTTACCCTCCCCCTTCTTTTTCTTTTACTCTTTCTCACTCTGTGCTCAAGATTCTGAAAGAATTTGACCCCCGAGCAGCACAGGTCAGATTAGTTGACCAATCAGAGTGTCTGGACAGTGCCCAGAACCCTTAGCTTGGCCTGACCCTTGACCTCTACTGTGACGTAAGGGGGGAAGGGTGAATAGGGAGATGAAAGACGTAACTGCTGTAGGGAGGGGGTGGGTTAAGAGGGGTTATGGGTTGTCTTGGTGATGCCCATTGTCCTGTAAAATGTGTTGCCATAGCAGCAAGGTGGTCTGTAAGCTTTTTTGTGTGTGCAAGATGTTTGAGGAGTTTTGCTCCAGAGAGCACAGATTGAGACAAGACATTACAAAGACTCATAGACTTCAGAGTTTCTTCTTCCACTTGTTTATTTGCTTGTTCAAGGCCATTTCCTAGCAGGCATTTATTTTGAAGTCGTAACCTGATCTTTTGGTATGCACACACATTTGCAAACTAAACTTGTAAACAATATGTAGAATCAATGAAATAAACAGACTGTAACTGGACCAGGACGTTTTAATTAATTGACATACCTTAATGTTTGGTCTGATATTGGAGACACACTAATGCCTGCAAATAAACAAACAAAATGGAATCAAAAGTTTAAAAAATATATTTTTCTGTCAATCCTCAGATGATCACCTGGGCATGAAGTCACCATCAACATCTCTTGGCTCAGAAGGTACCTCATCAGGGTCCTCCTCCTCATCCCCCACCTCTCACCAGGACTGCCAGCCGCCTTTGGCCCCTCGCCCATCCCCTGGTGGGCTCCACGCGCCCTCCTTGCCCAGCGAGAGCTCGCCTCCTCCCCACTGGCCCAGCCACATCGCCCCCTTCACCACCTCCCTCCCCAACACCCACTCTTCCCTCTCCCCAGACTTCCCGCACCCCTCGCTATCATCCCAGACTCACTCGCCTCCTCCCCTGGGTCAAACCTCAGGTTCCCACAGCCTTCTTCACCAAGGACACTCCACTATGGCCTCCCCAACAATGGGCAGCTCGGCCACCACCACTACCTCGTCCTCCTCTTCCTCATCCTCTTCTTCTCAGTATGTGCTGCCTCGCCGCGACAGCTCCAGTCCAGGTCATCATCATCAGGCATCCACCTCTCCCGGGCAGCAGGGACAGATCCAGGTGTCACCCACCTTGGCGATACTCCTGGAAGAGCTGAGGGTTTTACAGCAGCGGCAAATCCACCAGATGCAGATAACAGAGGAGATCTGTAGACACGTCCTGAGGCTGGGAGGTGCTGTCTTTGGTCATGATAATAACCAACAGGTTGGTGGTGCAGACAGCAACCATAAGTCCCTAGGACCTGCATCTTTATCCCCAACACACCCCTCCACTGCCACGCCAGTAACCACAACCTCATCGCTTTTGACTGGCCTTCCATCTTCCCTCTTCCCACAGCCACCCGTCTCCAAATCAGGTGCTACACATGTCAATGGCAGCAGAGCTCTATCCTCCTCTACCTCGTCCTCCATGAGCCCCTCTGTTGCCTCACTACACCCTATGTCCTTGTCACTGGGCCTACCACCGCGCTACCTCCATGAGAAGTCATCCAACACCTCCTCGTTTGGCCATAGCAATGGTCTCAGTTTCCCCACCCCTCCCCTTCCTACCGCCAGTCATTCCCAGGATCTCCAGCCCAGCTCCTCCCTTGGCTCTTCCTCCTTAGCAGGACGCCCTCACCATGCGTGCCGTTTTTGTGGGAAGGTGTTGAGCAGCGACTCCTCACTCCAGATCCATCTGAGGTCTCACACAGGCGAAAGGCCCTACCAGTGCCCGGTGTGCTTGAGCCGTTTCACAACCAGAGGGAACCTGAAAGCCCATTTCTTGCGCCACAGAGAGCAGAACCCAGAGCTGTCACTTTCTCTGCTGCCCCCGGCACTGTGCGAGCCAACGCCTCCCGCTCCCAGCCCAATCCAGAGAAGGAGAAAACGGCGTGCCGATGACGACGAGCATTTCAACGCTGTGAAAGGAAGCATTCCCGGGATGACGGAGAACATGGCACTAGGGTTCCTGTCTGGTGCGTCCTCTCGGCCACCGCCTTCCTCTTTACCGCTGCCCCCGTCAGTGGACATGGCGTTGCTGTCTACAGCCCATTCACTGCTTCAGCTGAACAGAGCCTCGGCTGCAGCGGCTGCCAGCGTGTCCGGCACTGGTCTGCCTCCTTCCTCTACATCCTCGTCTTCCTCCTCCGCCATGGGCAGCCAGTTCAAAGGAGTAAAGCAGCAGCGATTTGATGAAAACACACCTCCTCACTCTGCCCTCCATACTGCTTCCCCATACTCCCAACTGGCCCACCTTCCTAAGATTCTCTTCCCTGACGGCACCTCCTCTCACCACCTTGCACTTCTACGACCCCCAGGCCACTCATCTGCCGCCCACCTCACTTCTCCCCATCAGCTACCCTTCCCCTTTCCACCTTTCCCCAAACCATCAACCTCCTCTTCATCTTCTACCACCACCTCTACCCTGACCTCAGACACCTCCAAGTTGCAACGGTTGGTGCAGAAGCTTGAAAAGCAGCCACAGCGAGGTGCCTCTTCTTCCTCACTATCAGCTGCTGATGCTCATGGGGACACATACGGCCATGACCTGTCCACCACCTCCAGTGCCTATCGCAGGGAAATGTTGGCTGCTCTCGGCCTGAGCCCAAGTGCTACTGGACTTATGACCAGCCAGGGAGTCTTAGGTTCTGGCAATACAACTACGATGACTACTCACTCTCTGCCCACCGCTCAGGCTGCTAATCAGTGTGCTGTTTGCCTGCGTGTCCTCAGCTGCCCCAGGGCTCTGCGCTTGCATCAGGCCACACATCTGGGAGAGCGCCCCTTCCCTTGTAAGCAGTGCGGTCGTTCCTTCTCCACAAAGGGCAGCCTTAGAGCCCACCTTGCCACGCATCGCGCAAGACCGGCCAACTCCCGTGCCTTGAACTCCTGCCCATTGTGCCCACGCAAGTTCACCAATGCCTTGGTACTTCAGCACCATATCCGCTTGCACCTGGGTGGACAAATACCACCTGATGAAGATATGCCTCTCGAAGACGGAGAAACAGCTGCTGTTTTTGATGAGCGGGAGAATGACTCCCCATCTAAAGCCCCACAACTCCTTCCTCTGGCCCTGACAACAAGCTTCAAGTCTCCAATTGATGCTCTCACCTCAGGGTCGACTTTTAAGAAATCCACAGCTGCTGACGCCACATCTGTGAAGACGGAAGAATTGGAGAGCTCTGCATCAAGTGTTAGCCCACCCGTGACCCGTAATCCCCCCTCAGTGGGAGCAGAGGACCCCCTGCGTCTGGGAGACAACGCCCCAGCTGATGGTAACCCAATCAACGGCTCCATGCACTCTGAAGAGGAGACCCAGGCTGACCTGGTCAGCACCAGCCCTTTCAAAGCACCCTTAGCTAGCTCTCATTCAGCTGTAATGAATGGAGACGCAGAGGCAGATGACACCCCTTTATCTCTGTGCGTTTCAAAGCCTGGAGCAAACAATAATACGCTGCAATCCGTGGTTAATAACGATGAAGCTTGCTCCACAGACAAACCCACTACAAGTCCTGATTCCAACCCCAAAACCCCAGCTGCAAATCCCTCACCTGCACTCACCCCACCTGCCAGCCCCAAAGCTATCCCTAAGGCTGAAGAGGCCTGTGGCAATGACCCACAGGAGGCTCAAGAGAGTGATGCTTCCCAAAGCAAAGGCAAGAGTGAGACCACGACAACAAAAGAGCCTTTGCCGGCGCTGGACTCAGAGTCGGAGAAGGATGCTCCAATGGAGGAGAGTAAAGACAGGCACGAAAAGCCTTCAGAGGACCAAGAGCCCTCCGTCCCAGCCCAGCTTCCTCGCTCTGACAAACCCTACAGCTGCTCCCAGTGCGGGAAGGCCTACGCCAGTCGCAGTGGGCTTAAGGTAAGGGTTGACTAACTTAGATCAAAAGATAATGATTTTGAGTTTGTAAACATTTTTAAGGGGTAATGCATTTTTTGTCAGGTTAAGATTTCCTCCACTGTGACTAAATAACTAATATGTTGTGTCTTCCATCAACAGGGTCATATGAAAACTCATCCTGGAGCATCAACCCCCGTCAAGGCTCAAACCAATGACACTGACATTGCGGAGGATTGCAGCTCAAATTCAGCCAATAAGAGCCCGGAAGAGCAAGAAGAAAATCAGGGATTGGCTAAATCACCTGAGAAGGAGGACAGCACAGATACTAAAGCGATCGGTGTTGTTCCGGTCGAGCCTATGGACACTACTGTGTAGAGTTAGAATCACTGAGCGGCTGCAGTCAGTCTTTAAAAGGGTCCTGACAAAGGAATGTATTTTTTTTTTTTTAATAGGACGACCTTTGTTTTTGTAGACATTAATTCTAATTCATGTTTACCTTTTGTAATAGGCAGATAGATGAAGTTGTAGTTTTGCAAGACATTTGTGAATGTAGTATTTTAGCTATGTTATTTTTGTATTTCAAAGACCACAGTGAGGCCTTATCTTACACACTTCACAGAATTGTCACAATGAGAATTATTTGTTTGCGCTTTCGTTTGCTGACACCTTTTTCGGCACATACTGTATAAGCTGATTTGAAGAAGAGGGACGATCCAGCATTTTACAAGATGAACTCCATACCAAAATAGGCCAGTTTAGTAATGGCCAATGTCTGTAAATATGAGCGGTGGTTACATTTTATGCCTTTTTATCTGACTTGTTTCTTAATGCCATGCTGCTAAAAGCATGTTTCTGATGTGCTGAGTTGCACTGAGAGTTGCACTGTGTCCTGTGCTTCCGAGACATCTTCTTAAACACATTAGCAATGATGATAACCATGATGATAATAATAATAATGGTGTGTTAGATGATTTTGTGGGAAGTCCTTGTACTTATTGCTGTAAAAGTTGCTTGCAACTTATTCAAACTGATGATTGTAAATGTTTTGTTGTTGTCGGTACCTCCCGGGTCAAACCGACAAATAGGATGAGCCCTGTCTGTTATAACTCCCCTCCCTTTATCTTTCTCCCCTCCATCCCCCCTGCTCCCCTCTCTCTCAAAGCACTTGAGAGTTTTCTGCGCCTGCAGATATTGTACTGCATTCCTGCTTCACCCAGTTTAGTATTCCTTGTAAACCCCTTTTTTGTAGCATTGACAAACTATGTTCCCATGACTCCCATGTGATGTATAAAAGATAAATAAAACAATGGCGATGTGAAGAGGAGACCGGTTTGTTGCTCGTCTGTGCTTTTCTGTATATGTTTTTGTTCTGGGTTCAGTTTAAGCCGTCTTTGTGAATTCATTTATCTGTTTAAGTATTCTGTTTGCATGACTCTTATTCTGTGTGCTGTTGGTCAGTTTTCGCTTGTTTGTTCCAGCTCTCGGTGTGTCTGGGGGGGGGGGTTCTTTGTCTGGGCTAGCTGTCTCCTAATTCTGCCTTTTTTGTCCTCAATGTCTTTTAATATGTTGCAGTTCCCCACTACTGTGTGTGTGTGTGTGTGTGTGTGTGTGTGTGTGTGTGTGTGTGTGTGTGTGAAAAGGATAATCAGAGCCTGTATGAGTGTGATTGAGGGTGCAGCTGTAGAGGCTGCCACCTCCCTCCCTCCCCTCTCTCTCTGTGTCATACGTTCTTTTATACGCACCCTCTTTCATTTTCTCTTTCATTTCTCTCCCTCACTCTTTCTGCTCACCCCTGTACTCCCCCCCTCCTCCCACCCCATGTAATGAGCTGACACACAGGAAGCTCTAATCCTCACACAATGCCACCCCTCTTCCCCCCAGAGTGACTGGGAGCGGGACAGGGGGCAACAGGGACCAACCTGGCCCAGCTGTCCCCAAAATGGCTGCCTTTAATCCCTCCCGTTTTTGAGCTCCTGAATCCATGACAACCCGTAACCAAGGAGAAGAATGCTCAGGGGCAGAGAGCGGGACAAAAGGAGTGAAAAGAGCCATGTGTGAGAAGTTTGTCCACATGCTTTCGTGGGCGACAAGGGACGTGTCTCAATCAAAAAAAGAAAGAAATTAAAATTAAAATTTGAATAGTTTTCAGTTTAAGAAAAGGAGCAGAGAGATGGAGGTGAAGACAGAAGTCAACAGGTGTGATGGGGACGGTCGGTCACATGTAACACATTATCAAACAGCTTTAATCGACATCAATCATCACTTTTAGAAGTCCTTAATTCTATATGCAGACATTTAAACTACAATTAAAGGAGAATCCTCATCTCAAAAAGTTATTTTCTTTTAAGTTGATTTCATTTGGGAAAGAACAAACATATCTTGCTGATCCGAAGTCGTATTTTAAAATGATTTGTGTTCCTGTTAAACAAGTTTATTAAGTTATATGATCTTAATAATTGTTTAACTTAACATGTAAACTCACTTGATAAAATTAAGTGGAACCTGCTGACAAAATACACTTAATACACTCAAAGTCATTGTTTTGTGAGTGTGTGAGAAGTTTGTCCACATGCTTTCAAAAAAGTAGTCTGAATAGTTTTCAGTTTAAGAAAAGATCAGAGAGATGGAGGTGAAGACAGAAGTCAACAGGTGTGATGGAGACGGTCGATCACACGTAACACGTTATCACTTATCAAAACGTTTGTTGATGTAATGTGCATATTTAACTTACAATTAAAGAAGAGTCAACATCTATGGGGAAGACAAACAGTTCTTTGGTCCCACATTGGCCGTTGATTAGCGTGGTTTTGGTCATTACAGCTGCCTTTCAACTGAAATGTGACAGAATCACGCAGTTCATGTTTTTAATTATATGCTTATTAAAACGTTTTTGTCACCCTATTTAAAAAGAACGACAAACAAAACAAAGAAACTTATGTTAAACCCTAATGGAAAGCACTAAGGCTCCCAATTTTGTATTTTGTAGCCAAATATAAACATTTAATAGATTGAACATCTCTATCAACACACTATAATAAATCTTCCCATGTTTGCCCATAAGTGGAGTTAGCTGTATTAACAATATAATAAATGCTAATACAGTAACACTTCACAGGTAAGTTATCCAATCCCTTTCTTTCTATAGCACATTTAAAAACAACAGAGTTGAACAAAGTGCTGTATAAAAACATAGCATAAATACATAAAAACAAATGTAAAACACGAGACAATGAAACCAGATCAGAAGCCACAGACTGAAAAACTCTCCTACAAAAAACAATACAAAACACTAGAACGATAAAAACCCAAATGTAAAAGCACAAGTGTCACCTGGCCTGCGAGGGAAAATAAGTGGGTTTTTAAACGAGATTTAAAAACAGGCAGAGTTGGAGCAAGTCTAACCTGGAGGGGCAATTCGTTCCATAACGTTGGAGCTGCAACCGCAAAGTTCATTCATTAAGCACTTCTCTTATAGCTAGATAATGTGTTATAAACCATTGATTACATGTTTGTATACTGCTTATAAATGCTTTCTGTGTCTGGAGACTTTTGTTTGTTTGTTATTTTACACTTTGTACAAGAATAGTTTAAACTTTCATTAACGTCCACTAAAAACCAAGAATAGATAACGATTCCTTTATGTAACTTCTACACTCTCTTGTTACGAGCTTTTAAAGGTCAGATAACTCACTGCTTTATAGTTTCTCTTTTGTTAACTGGACTTATAACTTCACACTGGACATTTGATATTTAAATGTAATTTAATATGCCATTCTTGGACACTAAATGTAAATAATATCCTACTTTTATATTGTGTGAGCTGTAATTTACCCCTTCAATAGTGTTTTATTTGTCATCTTTTATATTTTCACTGTTTTAGTTCTGTTTTATCTTCTATTCTGAGATGTTTATATTGTATAGTTGTTTAGTTTCTACTCTTTTGTATTTCTTATTATGTGTAACACTCTGTTTTACATGCTGCTGTTGCAACGAAAGGGGCGGTGGTGGCGAAGTCCATAGGGACTTGGCTTGGCAACTGGAAGGTCACCAGTTCAAGTCCCGGAAAGACCAAGTGCTACCGAGGTGTCCCTGAGCAAGGCACTGCTCCCCGGGCGCCGTACATAATGGCAGCCCACTGCTCCTAACACTAGGATGGGTCAAATGCAGAGAAACCGTTTAGTTACATCGTACCTGTACTGCGTAATGACAATAAGTTGAATCTTCAATCTTCAAAAAACAATCCCAATTTGTGAGTATTAAGTATCTTATAGTCATATCTGAGACAGTGATTCCATGTTCTTCAATATATTATAAATCCACAAGAGGGAGCTATTGTCTGTGAACGATTAATCAAACAAGTGGAACTGTTGATAGTCCATCTGCAATGATGGTATTCTCATTGTTTGATTTGAGGTCATTTACACTCGGATTTTCTTAAGTAGGCCTACAAATAGAAATATCATACATACTGATAAGTTAAAAAGTGTAACCTGCATCCACATTATACATTATATAACGCTCTGCATTGCCTCACAGTGATTCCCTCTGTAACATCCACCGACCAGTTCCGGCTCCACACTTGATAACACGTGTTTGATAAGATAATTTAATTAAAACCCCATCATTCTGTAACCACTCACTCAGGAGACACAATGCAAGGCCATTACTCTCCCCCTTGCTCCCTCCCCTCGGGTGACTCGTTTCCTCGATAGTAGAAGTACTTAAAAGGCACAAGTTCATGAGCAGAGGAACAGTTAGGAGTCAGGAAACAGCTGCGCAAAGACGCAAAGCAACACGACTGTAATAGAGAGGAAGAACCATGAGAGGGAAGTCCGGGGAGAAGAGGTGAAAGAAACAAGAACTCATTTGGAATCAAGAGGAAACACTGGGAGATAAAAACGTTTCTGGAGAAGGTGAGCCTCCCCAAAGACTGCTGCTTCTATTATCTCACTCTTCCTGATCATTCATGCTCACTAAGACACAGGTTTACAACGCCAGCCTGTGTATCATTTATGAACATGTCATGTCAGTGCACGTGTGCCTTGATGCCTTTATCACTGAAAGAAGTGGTCCTTGAAATCCAATAAGGCACAATTAGTTCTACATGTATATCATTTATTTATTCTTGCCCCATTATTTTTATATTTGTGATTTAAAAAAACGTTAAAAAGTTAAAAAGTCTTATCATATTTCCATTGCAAACTAGCTGTAGCTTTTGTGCATATGGCAATACATTGCATTTTGAGGTAGGCTTATTGTAGATTCATACTATAATTATTATTTCAAAAATGATGAAACAATTCAAAATAACTTTATTTACTGTTCCAAGTTAGACATCCTGTAACCAGATGATTCCTCCATGACATCCTTAAGATAATAAACGGTGCGTTTCAGTGCCTGTAAGAAGGGGCTGAAATATTTCCCTCCACACTTGAGTTGAGAGGATTTTCTGTATCCAGGATGTAACCTTGAGTAACTCATGAAGGACTATACACTTATCAGCGGCTTTTGGACCTTGCACTGTAAGAGCCTCGTCTCTGTGGCACGCGTTTGATCACATGCAGGACGACACAATCTACTGTCCTTCTCCTTCACAGTCACTGCTTGGTGAGCCCACGTGCTGCTGATCTGCTGCTGCTGCCTCAAGGTAACCCTTACCTTCACCTCACAACATGTCATTTTCTTTAATCCACATGTTCTTGGTTAAACTGGCAATAAATCTAACAAAATCTTTTTTAATGAGGTATTTTTGTGTTTTTGAGTTGAATTTTCCTACAGTCTTAGTCTTTGTTCTTGGTTGTTTGATCAGTCTCTATCTGGCTCTGCTCATCAACAAAATATCTTAACTAGAAATACACTTCTGGGTGATTTAAAGGTGGAATATCACCTTGGGTTTAAACGTTTTAGAAGGTAAGAAAATGTATAGATAGTCTTTAAACAGTTACATCCAAAACGTTCAAATAAATACAGGTAAGTTTCACCCATAAATCACCTAAAACAATCTTGTTTTCTTAAATGAAACATTTTGATTCAGCATATTGCCAATTTGTTTTAAAAACCTTACCGCTATCTTGGCCTTGAAGCAGCACGTCTTAATCCATTAATTTAGTGTTTGTACACTTGATTGTGGGTTTATTATCTCAGAGGGGCATTAACCATGTTTTTGTCTCATCATCAAACCCCATACATGCTGAGGATGATGAACTTTGGAAAACATGTGACCAGTTCTGCTGACACTCTCTAACCCTGCATGTGTGTGTGTGTGTGGACAGCTATGAGTCAAAATTGTTTTGTGTGTGTGTGTTGGTAATTCTTCCTCAGCTTGTATGGTTACTAATGAAGAGCTGGTGTTTTCAGGCATGTGGTGTGTTTGCTCCTCTCCTCTCTGTCAATACACTCAACCTTAAAAGGCCATTTGCTGTGCGGCCTAATGGCTCTCCAATCCACCAAACTGCCCCTAAATCCACCAGTGTCCACACTAATGTAGGATTTTGTTTTTTATGTTTGTTCTCACATTAGCGCTTTGGGCATGTAAATATGTTTTTGTTTGATTTGGACAGGATTGAAACAACACAAGTATTTGCTTTATGTGTGTCCTGAAAATCAGTCTCTATGGTGACAGCATCGCTGATATGACGTGTGTGTCCTCCACAGATGGAAGGAGATGACGATAGATAACCGCGTGGAACGTTGACCAGTCTTCAGTCACACATCAACGAGAAAAACTCTCAAATTGTGACTGAAATATTCCCATTTCTAACTTATATATTTAAAAACCACCAAAAACACGAACAATGGCGTCCTACAGCCCCACCCCAACGGAAGAGGAGAGCAATGGCAGCCCCCCGCCTGCAAAGAAAGGGGAGTCCATGAAGCTGAAGAAGGAGATCTCCCTCCTGAATGGGGTCTGCCTGATCGTGGGGAACATGATCGGCTCCGGGATCTTCGTCTCACCCAAGGGCGTCCTCATCCACAGCGCCTCCTACGGCCTCTCCCTGGTGGTGTGGACCGTCGGGGGGATTTTCTCCGTGTTCGGCGCCCTGTGCTATGCCGAGCTGGGGACCACCATCACCAAATCCGGGGCCTCCTACGCCTATATCCTGGAGGCCTTTGGGGGTTTCATGGCCTTCATCCGCCTGTGGACGTCGCTGCTGATCATAGAGCCCACCAGCCAGGCCGTCATAGCCATCACGTTCTCAAACTACATGGTGCAGCCCATCTTCCCCACCTGTATAGCTCCGTACCTGGCCAACAGGATGCTGGCTGCTGGTTGCATATGTAAGTACACATTTAGAGTGTGTGTGATAGTGAGAGAATGGAAAAGAAAGTCACCTATAATGGAAAATCCACTTTTTCATGTCTGTTATACATCAACATGTGTCCCCTCTGTATAAAGAGATTCTGGAAGTTTCAGGAACAAAGACCCCCTCTCTTTTTGTCCTGATCCATTTATATAAAAACCTGTCTGAAAATGAGCCGATTAGATTTTGGCCACTTTATGATGTCATAACGTTTTTTTGGGTTGTGCAACCATTAGCCAATCAGCAGGGAATTATGGGATGCTACAATGGGTGATCCGTTTGGTATTTGGAGCCAAACACTTCAGAGACATGTTTTGTATATATTCGAGACCTATGATATATTGTTGAACATTTGTATAATAGGGGATCTTTAAGAAAATGCCACAGTTTTGTAGACTAGAGAAGTGAAAAACGGTGACACCGCTGCTGCCGTCAGCACGTCTGCAGCAGAAAGGCTTACTGACAAAGGAAAGAGGAACTGAGCATCTCCTGAAACATATCCACCAAGTAGGAGGAGAAAATAAAAAAGCTATTTTACTCAATCTCAGATTACGAAATCCATGTCTAACACGTGAGGAGTCACAACGCTTTATTGGTATGGGAACAGCAAGACTGTCCTTTAAAGTACATCTTTGTGAAAGGATGTGCTGAGCTAACTTGGACACATTGACCCTGTGAAAGAGCAGAGCTGACAAATCAATCAAACTAACAAGAAATTCACAATGCTTCTCACCACGGCAACCAAACTCCATTTAAGAGGCGACGAAATACCAACGCTCAAGCAACCACACAAGAAGCCAGAGTTATAGCTTACAGACAAGCCCTGATCAAGATAAAAAATATACATATTGTGCTAGTTTGCAATAAATATTACTCATTCGTCCACCCACTCATTCATGCATGAAGACACACTTAAATACAGGAAGATACACTCTTGTGCCATGCTCCGATAAGCAGTTCCAGGAGGAGGAGAGGCTGATAGCTGTGAGGTAAAGTCCTGGAGGGAGACTCTGACCTGAGAGGCTAACGGCTACTGCCAGCTCAGCACAGGAGAGAGGCTTCAAAACTAAATACACTTCCTGTCAGATACAAATACAATACTGTAAACTGGAAATATAATTGTATCCTTTATTAGTTGCTTTTGGTCAAAGTTCATTGCAAATGGAATTTATTTCTTAGCTCTCGGCAGAACGTCTCATAAAAATGTAATTTAGCAGAAGTTGGTCTAAATGTATGGAAGCCAATTCATGCCAGGAAAAACTCAAAATAAGATGAAATGTTATGCATGACATTTTTTTGTAAATCCAAATAAATGTAAGCTTCTAGATAGTCAAAGTCAAAAATAACTAGTAGCAAGTTTTGATGTGCGCAATATTTTTAATTAAACCCCCATCATTTTATCTCACTCTCTTTAAGGCTTTATAATTATTAAGTCAAAATCTTGATTTACTATCTCATAATTTATACTAAGGTCAAACATTTTAAATCCTTTTCTTAAAGTCTTAATTTCTTTAATAATCATACCTTATAAAGCACACTTCTTGATTTAGTATTTCATAATCAGGATTGAATACTCCATAATATGGTTAATCATGATGTTTACTTAATATCACATACTTTTGACTCGTATACGCAATTTTCTTTTTTCTAATGGTTATTTACTTAGTACTACATTTTTATATTTTTTTTCAATGTGTGTTTTTGTGGAAATGGGCTTAACACATTTCAGAAACGACCCTCTTTCTCCACTTTTCAAACCACATGACAGAAATAAATGGCAACTTTTACGAACACATTTTAAAAAACAACTTTTTTGGTATATCAGCAGTAAGAAAACACATTATTCACTCGCTGAATGTACATTATACTCTCTTTTTCTCTACATCTGGACCGTATTTAACCTTCCTTACCCGATCTCACACCTCCCACCCTCCTAACCTTTCACTGTCAACACACCACGCCCCTACTTCTGTGTGGCAAAGTCTCCTTCTTTATTGTATTTGACCGGACCTCCTGCTGGGAAGGGGCTCGTTATGATCCTCTACCTGTCAAAGTGAAGATGATAGTGTTATGATTCGTCCCCTGGGGGGGGGAGTGATGTAATCCTAACGTCTTGAGCGATAAGTGAGTGGTAGCGCTCTGAAATTGCGAACTTGTAGGTGCAATGTGTCCACTCAGACAATTTGTGCCTCGTTTCTGAACTTGAAGGGATAACGTGCTGATAAGAGGCCTGAGAGAGATAAGTCACAGGAAGAAGCACGAAAACATGTTTCTCAAGAAGTTGCCAATAAGGAAAGAAGTAGCAGTTTTCCCTATCAGTCATTGAGTCAATCATGTTCAAAAATCTCCAGCCTCCAGCAGAACAATTCAAGATTTAGTAACCGACTTCCAACTGTAACTGTGTGTGTGTGTGTGTGTGTGTGTGTGTGTGTGTGTGTGTGTGTGTGTGTGTGTGGGGGGGGGGGGGGTTTCTGTGTGCTGCACTCAGCTGTTTCCTCGTCTGAAAAACAACAGGCCAATCTGCTTGAGTCAGCAGCAGCGTTTCCTTAAATCACACACGGAAACATGCCGGCACACACTCAGTTTACAGAGCAAATGTCACCCACTCGGAATATTAAATGATTAGTTTGTGTGTTTTATTTATCCATATTCATGCATGTATTTTGGTTTCTTTCACTTACCTCAGGTTTGCTGACCTTTGTGAACTGTGCCTATGTAAAGTGGGGCACCAGGGTCCAGGACTTCTTCACCTACGCCAAGGTCATCGCCCTCATCGCAGTCATCATCGCCGGCCTGACGAGGATCGGACAAGGTCAATAACTCATCTCGCACCCACCCATATCTTACCAAATGCTAGATAATAACTAGACTTACACAGGTGATTATTTCTGCTTCAAATGAAATGATTGTGTTTCCCAGGTCACACACAGAACTTCGAGGGGCTTTTCGATGACTCGTCTCAGGATGCAGGACACATCGCTCTGGCTCTGTACTCGGCTCTGTTCTCATACTCGGGATGGGACACCCTCAACTTTGTCACAGAGGAGATCAAGAACCCAGAGAGGTGAGGAGAGAATAGTACATGGGAAATAAAAGCAATCTTTAGTTTGGATCAAATTAGGCTTGATTCACGCTTTATAGACAGAATATTTTGTCAAAATGTAGCTGAAGATACGCCAAATTCAGGGAGCATCTTGCAAAGTTAAGTCTTTTTCAGTATGACATTGCTTCTAATTGAACTGTGGATTTTAAAAGCACATACAAAAAAGTATCTCTTACAATATAAAGCTTAACGCAATATTCTAATGGGCATCTACGTCTGGTGAGCTCTGGAAACTAAGAGAACAATTTGTAAAAAAAAAAGGGATTACGCCATTTCTGAAAAACTCATCACAGGAATTTCTATGGTATAAGACAGTTAAATACGAGTTAATGTGACAAATCTCTCAAAACCCCAAAGGCAAATGTGCTAGCCTCTCCAGATTTAACATGTTAACACATAAACACATAAATGTGTGATTTTATACCTGATGGTGTCTGGCTTTAAGAGAGAGGAACTCATGTTCACAGATATTGATGTTCTCCTTGATATCAGAATGCTGTACTTCCCCTAGGCATAGATAAGACAAATGTGATGATTTAGTTTGCAGTATTGTCTTCTGCTGATATATTACTAGTTTTAAAACAACCTTTCTGCAATCTGTGACCACTTAGTACAGTTAACTTCACAAGAGTATTCCTGTAAAGCCAAAGGAAACGCTTACTTTCCTTGCACAAAGGTTCACAGTTCCGCTCTGATGCTTCAGACAATAGGAAACAATCACATTGAGTGTGTGTGTGTGTGTGTGTGTTTGAGCCCTTTGGTGTGATTCACAGAGCCACACACTGATCAAATGAAGTAAGACTACACATGTGATTGGATCACAAGCCTCTCCCAGAGTTCCCAGGGAGATTAAGTGACAAACGGCCCCAATTTATCACAATCCCCGTCCGCCCCTCACCCACGGGTCGATCTGCTCTTGACCCTAAGGTGTCTAAAGCCTCTGTTTCTCATTTGTTTTGCTTCCCTCTGCTGGTTGTCTTGGTGAACTACAGGAATCTTCCACTGGCCATTGCTATCTCCATGCCCATCGTCACCGTCATCTACATCCTGACAAACGTGGCTTACTACGCCGTCCTGCCCATGAACGCAATCTTAGCCAGTGATGCTGTGGCTGTGGTAAGTTCATCTCTCTCTATACTTGCTGTACGCCAACGTAAATCTCC